TCCCGACCCAGGGACCCTCTAGCGGCAGCCTCCCTGCCCTCCTTCTCTCCCTTGTCAGACTTTGTCCCTGGGCCGCTTCGCCTTTGGCCCTGTGCCCCCGCTCGGCCCTTTGTAGGGAGGTCTGCGGTTTTCCTTGGCTGGAGCTCCCCAGCTCCTTCTCCCCTTTCCCAGCACTGCTCTGTCCAAGGTGCTAACTTTCAGCCAAGGAGCCAGTTCTCCTCCCTTGGCAGTCAGGGAGAGACTCCCTTTCCTCCTCCTAGACAGCCTTTATATAGGGTCTAACCCGGCCCTGATTGGCTGCCTCTGCCCTGCCCTGATTGGCTCCTAACAGGCCTCTCTTGATTGGCTGCTGGCCTGCGCCGCCTCAAAGGCTTGTTCCAGCTTTTTTCTCAGGGGGTGGGGCACCACCCCACCACAGCCTGTTTTTTAAAATGGTAAATGGGGTGACCTGGATGTGACACTTTGTACCTCAAAGTAGCACCCTGGAACCCCAATATTCACCACTATGGAATAATTATGATATGCTTGGTATAACGTATACCTTGTGAGGTATCATTTTAAAAGTCTTGATTTGTTGAATATTATTAACATTCTGTTGGATTGTATGTACTATCATTGTTATGAAGTGTTGCTATATGTGTTACTGAAATATGCTGTGTGGTTGGGAATGCCCACAGCGAGTCAATCAACAAAGGAGGGCCAGACAGTGGTGATGACCCATCAAGAAAAGAATACACTATCCCAGAGGCTCTATAGGGAAGGCACATACACAATGGAGACTGCTTGACCAATGTGGATTTCCTGACCCCCACGTACCAGTAGGATCTTTCTAGCATCTGGAAGAAGGTATAAAAAGAGAGACCGAGACAGGGTCTCATCACATGACCTTGTAGAGTCATAGCAGCCATTACTTGGAGGCTGTTTGTAGCATTTTCAGGAAGGCTCCCCGGGTGGGAGATAAGCTTCTCCTAAGGCCTGTCATTTTCTCCTAATGTCCCATTGCCCTGAATAGCCCTTCCCCACCCAGCTAGCTAGACTAAAAGCATCTTGTCTAGTGGGCATTACCCAGGTGTAACTACATTTGAAATACAGATACCTAGTCAATATTCATAACTTCAGATACAAAAACGATACATGCATACAAATAGGATAATAATATTCAGCAAATCATATCTTTTCCAATGACACCTCACATGACTTAGCATGCATAAAATGCATCATAATTATGCTATTACCATATAATAATATCACTATGAAGAATATGAGATGCAGTGTCACATGAGTAATGGGGAATATGTAAACAGGATGAAAAATCTGATGGGAAGATGGATGATGGGGGGGAAACGGCTGCAAGCTTTGAAGAAATGTTTGACTTTGTTGCTCTGTAGTATTTCCTAAGCATATATAAAGATGATGTGAAACAGTGTCTATTGGACAAAAGTGTGAAAACTATGGATGAGATGCCATCTCTAGCTGATGCCTTTGAGCAGACCTAGGCACCTACTGAGAGCAAACCACAGAAAGAGAAATTTAAATCTGGTGGGAAGCCAAAACTATTCCTCTAATCCCCATCCCAAATCTCTTGTGAAAACAGAAGAACCCAGAAGGTGCTACCACTGTAATTTCATTGATCACCTGTGTTTGGAGGAAGCTGATAATACTCGTTAAAAAAATGTGTTCATTAAATTTGTGATTGAACTCCTTGGGGGAGAATTGTACGTCTCCTGCTCCATGGTTTTACCCACATTCTGCCATATATTTCGTGTTATAGCAGTCTCGGATGACAACCCAGCACACGTTGTTCAATTTAAGAAGACTTTTTCACTGCAGATTTGACAAAATGCAAAGAAGGTACGAATATGGCATTCCTAAAGATAGCTACAGCCGTCGACCTAAGATTTAACAGTCTGAAGTGCCTTTCAAAATCTGAGAGGGATGAGGGTGGAACATGCTGTCAGAAGTCTTAACAGAGCAATGCTCTGATGTGGAAACTACAGAACCCAAACCACCAAAAAAGAAAATCAGTTCTGTTGGTGGCATCTGACTTAGAAGATGAAAATGTTCGTGCGTCGGTCCGCACTGCTTTGGACTATTATCGAGCAGAACTCGTCATCAGCATGTACGCATGTCCTCTGGAACGGTGATCGAAGCATGAAGGTGCATATGAATGTTTAGCATATCTGACACATAAATACTTTGCAACGTCGACTAGAAGAGTGCCATGCAAACTCCTGGTTTCACTTTCAGGTGACATTGTAAATAAGAAGCAGGCAGCATTATTGTCCATAAATGTAAACAAACTTCTTTGTCTTAGTGATTGGCTGAACAAGAAGTAGGACTGAGTGGACTTGTAGGCACTAAAGTTTTACATTGTTTTATTTTTGAGGGCAGTTATGTAAAAAAATTCTACATTTGTAAGTTGCACTTTCATGATAGATTGCACTACAGTGCTTGTATGAGATGAATTGCAAAATATGATTTTTTCTTTTTTTACAGTGCAAATATTTGTAGTAAAAATAAGATAAAGTGAGCACTGTACACTTTGTATTCTGTTGTACTTGAAAATGTAGAAAACAGCCAAAAATATTTTTAAAAATGGTATTCTATTGTTGTTTAACCATGCAATTAAAACTGCTATTAATTACAACTATTTTTTAATCTTGCAATTAATTGTGATTAATTTTTTTAATTGTTTGATAGCCCTATTTAAAATCTGTCGTTCTCCAAGTTAATAAATCTTTTTTATATTTTACCTATAAGAGTATGTTTTGGCTGAAGCGGGGCTGGTGCATGCCCACTTTCCTCTGAAGAAGTGGCAAACTAGGTAATTTGAGCTTACACTGGCCAGGCTTCTGGATAATTACAGGCCTGTCAGCCTGACATTGGTTCCTGTCAAGATAATGGAGCAACTGATACGGGACTTGATTAATAAAGAATTAATGAAAATCAACATGGGTTTATAGAAAATAGATTCCGTCAAACTAACTTAATATCTTGTTTTGATGAATGTACAGGTTTGATTGATAACAGTAATAGTTTTGACCTAGTATACTTAGACTTCTGTAAGGCATTTGACTTGCATGCTTTTTGCCACACAACATTTTGATGAAAAAACTAGAATGATGTACAACTAACAAGGCCACACATTAAATGAATTACAAATTGGCTAACTGGTAGATCACAAAATGTAACTGGGGAATTGTCATTGAGTGGGCATGTTTCCAGTGGGGTCCCAGGGGGATCAGTTCTTGGCCCTATGTTATTTAAGATTTTTGTCAATGACCTGGAGGAAAAAATAAAATCATCACTGATAAAGTTTGCAGGTGACACAGAAATTGGGGGTGTGGTGAATAATGAAGAAGACAGGTCACTGATACAAAGCAATCTGGCTCACTTGGTAACGGGGCGTAAGTAGATAATATGAATTTTAATAAGGCTAAATGTAAATGTATGCATCTAGGAACAAAGAATGCAGGCCATACTTACAGGATGGGGGACTCTATCCTGGGAAGCAGTGACTCTGAAAAAGATTTGGGGGTTATAGCTGATAATCAGCCAAACATGAGCTCCCAGCGTGATGCTGTGGCAAAAAGAGCTAATGCAATCTTGGGAGGAAAAAAGGGGCAATCTTGAGTAGGAGTAGATTCAAGAAGGATGTTGATAAATTGAAGAGGGTTCAGAGAAGAGTGATAAGAATGATTAAAAGATTAGAAAGAGACAAGGTGGGTGAGGTAATATTTTTTATTGAACCGTCTTCTGTTGGTGAGAGAGAGAACTTTCGAGCTACACAGAGCCCTTCTTCAGGTCTGTTTAAGCTTGAAAGCTTGTCCCTGTCACCAACAGAAGACAGTCCAATAAAAGGTATTACCTGACTCACCTTATCTCGCTAATATCCTGGAACCAGCACAACTACCATAACACTGCCTTATAACGAGAGAGTCAAGAAGCTCAATCTATTTAGCTTAACAAAGAGACGGTTAAAGGATGACTTGTTTACCATCTGTAAGTACCTACGTGGAGAACATCTATTTAATAACAGGTTCTTCAAACTAGCATAGAAAGGTCTAACACAATCCAATGGCTAGAACTTGAAACTAGACAAATTCAGACCAGAAAGAAGCATGCATTTTACAGTGAGCATAATTGACCACTGGAACAATGGTCAGTGGTGGATTCTCCATCAATGACAATTTTTAAAATCAAGACTGGATGTTTTTCTTTCTGCTTTAGGAATTATTTTGGGGATGTTCCCTGGCCTGTATTGTAGTCAGACTTGATGATCACAATGGTCCCTTCTGGCCTTGGAATCGATGACTAAGAGAGATGGAAGGCTCATCCATGAGTAAATTATAGGAGTCTTTGGTTTGAGAAACTAACAATAGTTGGAAAATTCTTTATCAAGCATCAGAGAGCTTTCCTTTCCTTTCCTTTCCTTTCCTTTCCTTTCCTTTCCTTTCCTTTCCTTTCCTTTCCTGGGAATTGTGTGTCTTAAGCTTTAGT